AGGAAGAAACCAACCATGGGTCTTGGGAAACATTTCAAGAAGTGCCCCGTTAATACCCTGAAGGATGTCGAAGTCTCATATACGGCCTTACACTTCAGCCTCCAAATCACCACCAAAGAAATCTATGAACTCCAAGCGCTGGACCTCAATGATACTGCGTACCCCAATGCCAAGTCAACACCCTTGGTTAAAATCGTATGAAAGACCCAACCCCGGCCCGGCAACAAACCCGTCCTCGTCAAGACAGTCGCAGGCTTCTTGGAAGTCGTGCGAGCGGCCGGCTTCTTCATGCTGGCTGCTGGCCGCTTCATATTTTGAAGCGGCAAGGTCGGGCTGGCAGACCGCAAGTCCCTATGGTTACTTCTGACGAGCGTTTTCAATGGAACTGGGTATCCTGAATCTGTCAAGGACCTGCCTCTCAATGGGACTGCATATCCCGAATCTGTTGATTCAACTCTGACCGGCGACAAGGCAGCCTAAACGGCCACGACTCTCAATCGTGTGACATCATGCCAAGATCGGCAGACATTGACATGACAATCTGTCGTCAATTTGATTATGCTCTGAGGCAGATATAAACAAGCATCCATCCACTCAGCCGTAAATCGTGACGGCGAGACCAGCTAGAATCAGCTAGAAATCGCCAGAAACACACGACAGCACTGACTGATGGTTTGAGATTTGTCAAACCCTACTGTTTGACATTGAACAAAATGATTAGACGACCAGTGCTTAAATTTTCTGAATCTGACTCTATTTCGAGGAAACGATTGGTCCAGAAACAGTAGCCTGCACGGTTTGCTGCTGCCTCACAGCAGCCTTGACAGTCTACCCTGGGAGCGACTTCATGTGTGTATTGCCTGCATATTATATGATTTGTGTGTCTCCATGTTGTGTGGATATCGTGCGCGTGTGCTTGTAATATTTAGTGAACATTATACATTTCGAAACAAAGTTTAGGGAACCGGGAACCCTTTTTTTCCGTGCGCACAGTCACAGTCACAGTGACATTGAGCCGGTGTTTGAGCCGAAGCCTTTTTTCCGTGCGCACAGTCACAGTCAGTGACATTGAGCCGGTGTTTGAGCCGAAGAAACTATTTGCCAATTAAAAAGCCGACGCTTCTCTGCATCCGCGCACTTATTGTACAAGACGAGACGCACGGACGGCCACAGGCGACATGAGGACAGGTGGGAAGGCTGGGAGGGCGGGAAAGGTGATGGTGGGCCGGAAGACGATTCTCCGATGTATGTGACAACGGGACAACTTTTGCAGCTTGGGCGCCAAGACATCCCATGAACACAGTGTACAAAGACAGACGACAAGCAATCAATGTCAATCTGCAACTTGGAGCATCTAGCGTCACACCACGCAAACGAATAGACCGAAGAAAGCCGAAGCCACCAAGCACTTGAAACCACCAAGTTCCGTGGGAGTGGATTATTCTCTTGGCTTGCGCCTGCAGCGCCCCAGCCAACGCCGCCCCAAGAAGCTTGCTTCGGCCCATCACGGGCCTCCGTCTCGGGCTGTCTTCCGAACCCTGGGCCCCAGATCCTCCTTCTGGGCTCCTTGGTGGGTCCCGAGACGGGGTCCCACCACTGCGCTCTCTTTTCCACCCTTCTTCCCCTGCTCCCCGGGCAACTTGCCGTCGTTACGCCACGGCGCCGTCCGGATAGCCTCGGCTACCCTTGCAGAGTGCTTGGGCCTGGCTCGCCTCCGCGGAGGCTCCCCCGCCGGCTCAGCAGGCCGGTCGGTGCCCTTCACTTCCTTCTTGCCCTTTGCAGGTGGTGGCCCAAGCGGCTCCTTGGGCACAGGCTTTGCCTTGGGCTTAGCCTCTGGCTTGGCTGCGGCCTTGGCCCTTGCGGTTCCCGAAACGGGTCCCGCACTGCCGCTCGCAGCTTCCTCCTTTCTTTTCTTCCTGGCCGCTTCCCTGCGGCGCTTGCCCGCACGTTCCCCAGGAGTCTTGGGCTTTTCTCGCCAACTCCTAACGTGCTCCTCCGGGGCGCCGTCCCCAGCACCTTCTTGGCGAAGGTTTTCCCTAGCTCGCTTGCTCAAGGGTCTTGCCTCTCGATCGGTGTTCTCCGGCATCAGCGGGTAGGATGCCCTCTTGCCGTCGTCTTTCTTAAGCGGCTTGCTGTACCTCTTCTGCCACTCCTCGTCCAGCGCAACCCTTTCGCGAGCCCTCCCTTCGCGGGAGGCTTGCCTGTGCTTCGCCGCTCGCTGGCGGCTAAGCTCCTTCCTCTTGGCCAGCTTGGCCTTGCGTCCCGAGCGGACGTCAGCCAAGAAGCGTGCCGACGACTTCCAACTCCCAGCGGTAGCCGTCCTGGCAGCCCTCCTCTTAGCCACAAGCTCCTTCAGCTGCCGGGTGACTTCCTCGAGCTGGGCTTCTAGGTTGGCCCTTTCCTCGTCACCTTCGGCACTAGCCAGGGCCCTGTTGAGCTCGGCCTGGCGAGCCTGCAGCTCGGACACCAGGTTGCCCTCGAGGAGCCGCAGCCCAACCCCCGTCATGGAGGAAGTGCCGCCAGCTGCCTTGGCTTTGGCACTTGCTCGTGCCTTGCCCCCTTCTGGCGGGTCTCGAGACGATCCCGCGCCAGAAGCACTGGGGTCGGAACGCCAGGTTCCCCAGTCTTCGTCGTCGCCCTCTGGGCTCTTCCTTTTCTTTTCCTCTTTTTCCTTCTTCTTTTCTTTCTTTTCCTTTCTTTCCGGCTTCTTTGGCGTCTCGTCTCCCCTTCCCGGGTCCTCTCCTTCGCCTTCGAGCATTCCTATGAAGCCCACCTCGGCTTCGTAGTCCTCCTCCTGCTCGGGTTCCTCGCCGTCTGGCTCCTCCTCTTCGCCGTCTAGCTCGCGGGCGTGTCCGCCCTTGCCTTTCCCGCCGCGGCCCCTACCTTGAGCCTTACCCTTCGGCGGTTTCCCTGCACTACCTCTGCCTCCTGGGGTGGGGTCTTTGGGGTAACCACTAGAACCACCTCCTGCATCCTTGTTCTTCCTTATGTCGATCGGGCTCCTGCAGTCCTTTACGAGATGGCCCACTTTGCCACACTTGTGGCACTTACGGGTCTCCTTGTCCTTTCCTTTTCCTTTCCCCTTCCCCTTGGCGTAGTCGATATCCATAGGCATTGCGCCGGAGTCATCCACAGTGAATGCCCGGCGGTTCTCGGCGAAAGTCACGATTTCCCTCCGTAGAAGGTCGTACGAGTTGAGCCGTGGAAGGTTGAGCTCCAGGTGTGACTGCAACTCCGCGGGAACCATTCCCAACAACGAAACCATCTTCTGGCGCTCGGTCAGCGCCGTGCAGTCCCGACGGGCAGCATACCTCCGATGCTGGTCCTCCCATCTCTCCACTGCAGCGATCAAGTCGCTCACTTCTGCAACTGGCTTCGTCGACATGAGCTGCCGCAACCACCTAAAGCTCGTGACCATGTCAGTCGGATCCAATCTCCCATGGAGCCGCCGGTACATGTCCAGTCCGGATCCTGCGCTCGAGTTCATCGTGATATCCCCTGGGGTGTCCATAGTCAAAGTACCCAGGACTACCTCCAGTTGTCGATTGAACTCCTGAACCTTTTCCGGAGTCACTCCATCCACCAGCTGTTCCCTCAGCCTGGCAACGGCGATTTCCTCATCTTGGGTCCGAGCCCAAGTCAGGATTGCCCGGGTTTCCGGAAACTGGCTCGTGAGCCAAAGCTCCAGCCGGTAGTTCCACTGGCGCCATGCACGCGAGGCTTCCTCCAGTGTTCCTCCCAATTTCTCAGGTCGGCCAATAGCCTTTGTATCCACCACGGTTCCGCGTGGCCTCTGGTTCTGCTCTAGCAGTCTCTGGAGTTGTCCCATCTGCTCCTGCTGCATCTGCAGCAGCCTCATCAGGAGCTGCTCTCCTGTTTGCCCTTCTCCCGCCATTGCCTCTCTTTCCTAGGCAAGTCCCGAACCGGGCCTTACCTTCCAAAGAGCCGCGTGCGTCGCCGTACGACGCCGCCCAGGATTCTCGAAATCCTATCCAGCAATCCCCGCGGGAAGTCCTGAAGCCTAAGCCCCAGATTGTGGAACAACCTCTGGTACTTTCGTACCTTCCGAAACTTGGCTAGCAGCCGAACCCAATTCCTCTGTGCGCGCTCTGGATCGTGTATCCACCTTCTCCCCTCACGAGGTCGTGCCCTTCTACCACAAGCGGCACGCAAGAGAAGTGTAAGCACCATCAACCAGGTGCTCCGCTACCATGAAACGCTATTTAGCAACCGCGCACTTGAGCCAAAAGGTAACGTCAGTGTGAAACAACTGTACATGAGACCCATACCCAAACTATACCCCAAATCCAGTCATGGATAGCGGATAGCGAAACTGACATCACACTTTTTCTCAGCCTGTTTTTTGCAGTGCCGCCACCCAAAACCCTAAACCCTAAACCGATTGAGTGCTGGCTGTTCTAGCTATGCCGCGCTCTCGCGGTGAACCCCAAACCCAAAGCTGAAAACACCAAACCAAACATCCAAAATCGAAACTCCGAACCCTGGGCCCGATGCCGGTTGAGGTTTAGGATTTGGAGTTGGGGGACCCTAATATAGTAGCCTAAATAGTAGGATCCTTATTATAAGGACCCCCAAATTGATAGGGTACGCCAAATTTTCCAAACTCCCATTTGGGGATCCCGAATCCAAACCCTGAGCCCTAAACCGGTTAAAAGCTTCCGGTCCGGCTCGAGGCTTCTTGTAGGCTAAAGCCTTACATCAACCGCTTACCCCCTAAACTCTCATTTTTAAACAACTTATACCCCAACATGAACCCTACAAAGCAGTAGTAGGGTTTATTTACAGAGTCCAGGTAGGATCTCAGATGCTTGGCGCGGTTGATGTTGTTGTTTGGGTTTCTCGGAAAGTCATACTCAGAGGCTTTATAAGCTTGGGGGTTGCAGGAGTCTGGGGTTCGAGGGTTAAAGGGCTTTAAGGCTAAGGGTCCAAGGGTTTTGGATTGGACCCCCGTGGGCCTTTGGGGTTAACTTCGGAGACACCTGTGCACACTCTTGTCGTCCACGGCTGCTTCTTCATGCTCCTCTTGCGTATCCTGCGCATTCTGCGTTTCTGTATGTTTAAGGGGCCGACAGACCGATCTAACCTTTGGATGAGATGTTTACGGTGACTGCTCTGGGCACCCACAGAACTCCTTTCTGCCTGTATGTTATATACTCTCATGCATAGTGCAACTCTGTGTGCTAATACATACTCAAAAGTAGACAGCATCGTCTTTTGGGCTCCGGACATACCTCATAGGCACGTGTGCTCTCAGATTGCCCTCAATGAAGATTGATGTCAACAGAAACACAATCAATCATCAGGCGAATCATTCCACTGTATCCAACCCCCGCCAACGATAGCTTGAAGCATGACTGAATAGCGATATGACATTACTCATAAGAGGGTTGGTGCACAGACCGAGATGCAGACGACGAAGTGGAGTTGTAGCGGACCCTTTCTGAAAGTCTGGTTTTCACTCATGCTGCTGGTCAACTTGTCGCGAACTTGTCGCATTTGAGCGCATTGTAGACTGACACATGCCCTCAACAACCAGCGCATGGTTCACCACGCTTGGTCCTATCTGCGGACTTGGTCTTCACGAGCAGTTCCTGAATTTCGGCGTGGCCCTCGTCAGATGCCATTGACAAAGCTGTCCGGCCATCGTTCGTGGTAGCATTTCGCTTGGCTCCGGCCTCTAAGAGCAGGCGCACAACTTCAAGGTGGCCCGCGTAAGATCCAAACAACAAAGGCGTCCAGCCACGCACTGTAGCTGCATCTGTTTTAGCCTTAGCCTCTATGAGGCATTGAAGAACATCGATGTGGCCCCTGCCGGATGCAAATGACAAAGCTGTCCAGCCGTCATCGCCAGTAGCATTTACATCAGCCTGGGCCCTCAAAAGAAGGCGGGCAATCTCAGGTTGGCCCTCAGCAGATGCAAAGGACAACGCAGTTCGGCCAACACCCGCATCTATCCCACATTTGGCCCCCAGAATCATGCGCACCACTTCCACATGGCCGTGTTTGGCTGCAAGTGACAGCGCAGTCCTGCCTTCAGCATTAACCAAATCTGTCTCAGCCTTGGCTAGCAAGATCAGGCGCACTACTTCCACATGGCCTCGGTCACAGGCGAAAGACAAAGCGGTGCGTCCATAGAAATCGACTACATCTGCGTCAGCGGCAAACTCCAAAAGCAGGCGCACCATGTCGATGTGGTTTAGTTCAGACGCAAATGACAGGGGCGTCCGGCCAGCACGGTCAGCTTTATCTTTGTCGGCCTCCGCATCGAGGAGGAGCCGTGCAGATCTGACGCGGCCCAAGGACGATGCAAATAACAAAGGCGTCCTGCCGTCACGGTTCGCTGCTTCGGTGTCAGCACCGGCCTCTATCAACAACTGCACGACGTCAGCGTGGCCTCCCTCACAGGCTTTTGTCAAGGGTGTCAAGCCGAGGAAATCCTTCCTGTCTGGATCTTGTGGGGAGTTGAGCATGCCTTTCACCAGAACCACAATGCCCCTAGCTGCAGCCTGCACTAGCTTGTTCGCATCTTCCTGTGATGTGCTGGGGAATGCCAAAAGGATCAGCTGCAGGTCGACGTTCGGACACAAAGCCTCAGCGTCGTGCAGGACACGTCCGTCCTGCGTCAGCCGCTGCCGGAATCGTGGAACCCCGCAGAGTCTTTGTAAATGCTTCTTCAAGCTCCGCACGTTTTGGAAGTCCTCCAGTGCTATAGCAGCCACTTCTTCGCCACAAATGCCCCATACACGAAGCATGAGCCTAACGGGCGAAGACGGGAAGCTAAGTTGAGACAGCCGGGCTGCACGAACACAGGATGCTCAAACAGGATGCACTTATCGAAGTCATCTCAACTGGAGTTTGACAGGGTGCCTTACAGCTCGAATAAGCATACAGTAGAAGCCAGAAAGTTGGAACATGGCTTCAGGAGGATTAGTGCGAGGATCCCTTATGCTTTACATTAAGGCCATGAGGATAATGATGTTCCAACTTTCTGGCTTTCTACTATACTCAAACTCTGCACACCAACGGTGGATGCCAACCCGTGACGAAATATTAACTTAGCACAAATTCAAAGGTTTAAATCACACTGAAGGGCTACAGCGAGACGAAACCTCAAAGCGTCTACCGAGATTGGGCCCCAGAACCTCAGACCTTCCGAACCGACCCGCGTGCGGAGGACCCTAAAACAATACAAAAATCAGCAACAAACACCGAAACCCTATAAACCTTCAACCGAAAAAAAGCCTTAGCCGAACCTTCGTTTCTGGATTTCCACCGCGGGAGCCCTGAACCCTTAAACCCTCAACATAGTGGTTGCCCCGGCCTTCCCACGCTGCGCCAGGGCCTCGCGCAACCCTTCCAGTCGACTCTGCAGCGCCTGACTTCCGTTTCTTGTTAGGCTTCATGGAGTATGGATTTAGGGTTGGGGGTTTAGGGTTATGGGTTTAGGGGTTAGGCTTTTTTTAAACCCTCTTTGCTTTAGGGTCTAGGGTTCATGGGAAGTTATGATAAACACAGATCGAGGCTGGCTCCGAAATGCTTTGGGGATGGCTTTCTAGGCCGAAGGGTTCACTTCTTGGGTCTGCAGGAGATATAGTGGGGCTTGAGGTTTGAGGTGTAGGGTTTAGGGGTTTGGGGTTTAGTGACGTCAGGGCTTATATATGGAGGGTTCAAAAACGGTGCAGGGTTAAAAGGCTTCCAGGGCCTATATGGGCCTTAAGCGTTTAGGGCGCTTAGGGTTTACAGGTTTTTGGGTTCTTGAGGTTTCTCAGACAGGTGAGTTAAGATAATATCATCGGCCCAATTAGTGTGGAGGTCACGACACCTGGAGCCAGTTTTCGAGCTAATCGCAAGGAGTTTGAGTCATAGAGGGCCAATGTTCCAAATTGCTGCTCCGGAACAACATGGCACGACGACTGTTTCCTTGGACCTCCTCTACCCCAAACATGCCCTAAGGTACCTTTGTACCCCACCCGCCGGATCTTCAATCCCTAACCCCTGATGGTTCCATCCCGGCAAACCCCAAAGTAAGCTTCAGAACGCGAAACCAAGCACTTTCAGCCACCCCAGGAGCTGCACTTCTCTTCGGCCCGCCGAAGTCACAACACGTGGGGCTTAAAGGCTAAAAGCGTTTATGATTATGGCTTAGGGTCTCTATGGTTTCGGGCTTCGGTTGGCAACGGGTTTGTTGGCATAGTATGGGAGTCCTTGCTTTCATGTTGCAAGCATCAACATTGGGCTCTCTGAAACCCCCACATGGGTAGGTTCTCTAAATAGGGGTCCCGTGCAGGGTCCTTTTTACAAGAGTGCCGTACGAATTTGGCGACCCATATAGAGTGGCTCCAATCTAGAGAACCAACCACATGAAGGATCATCGTCAGGGCTCTGTCACTTGACTTAACCGGCATCCCGAAGCCCTAACCCCAAACTCAAACCCCAAACCCTAAACCCCTAAACCCCTAAACCAATAAACCCCAAACCTTAAACCCCTAAACCCTAAACCCCTAGACCCTATAAACCCCTAAACCCTAAACGCAAAAACCCCAAACCCCAAACCCAAACCCTCCCATCATCCACCGAGCGCCTGGTTGGACTCCTCCAATTGCTTCTCTCGCTCCTTGCTCTCCTGCAAAAAGGCCCAGGGGACTTAGTAAGGGTTCTTAAAGGGTTCCTTAACGGGATCTATAGGGTTCCTTAAGGGAATCCATGGGGTTTAGCAGGCGCTTACAGGTTTCCTTAAAAGCTTACCTTCGGTTAGTGGGTGGTTGTCAAAATTAGGGTCCCTTTTTGGGTACCCTAAATAATAGGTGCCGTATCATAATAGGGACCCCAACAAGGGATCCTAATATTGACAACCAGCCAAGTAAGGAATGGAAGAATGGTAGCAATAGTAGTTGTAGTTGTACCGCATTCCTCCACTCCCTACGAACTCATGGTAAGGAACAGCTCCTAAGCAGGATAAGGATAGTCTAATGTAGGAACCTGATTAAGAAGCCTTGTGCCTTTATTAGGACTCCTTATATGAATCCTACTATTTTGGGGTTATAAGCACAGGGTTTCTTAATCAGGCTCCTACATTACAGCTTTTGTAGGGTATCAGGGGTTCATATAAGGGCTCTTTAGGCGCTTCTAGCTTGAGTTTTTGTACTGGTGAATATCAAAACCCCCAAACCCCTAAAGCCCAAACCCTAACCCCCGTACCTGAATCTGCGCTACAACTCCTCAAGAACCCTAAACCCCAAACCCTAAAGCCTAACCTCTATGCCCCGTACCTGAATCTGTGCATCGGCGATCTGCTTCAACGCGTAGTTGCCGGGAGCGAGTTGCTCTCTCTGGACCTCCAACTCCTCTGGGTCAGGGCTTCGGGTTCCTTTAAAGGGTACTTAGAAGGGTTCCGATAAAGGTTAGTATAAGGGTGCCTTTAAAGGGTACTATAAGGGTTGCTTAAAAGGGTACTATATGGGTTCCTTAAAAGTTACTGTAAAGGTTTAGAGTTTTTGAAAAATTAGGGGCAGCTCGTCTGGGTTAGGGCTTTTGGGTTTCTAGGTTTCAGGGGTTTAGGATTTGACGGTTTCTTATAGATAGGGTTTTGGGATTTAGTGTTTAAAAGGTTTGGAATTTAGGTCTTAGGTTTTTTCTTCACACTAAGAAAGATGGCCATGAGCCAATAAATCTTCTGTCGCTATGAAGGGCTTTCAACCGGTCAGTGGATTTGTAAACATCCCCTTCTTGGAGGTTCGTGGCTAGTCATAAGTGGGGTTGGAAGTCGGGTAACTATACTTATAAACCATATTAGGGGACTTATAACCCTACTTGTAACTACCCATGCACCTCCAAGTTGAGGGGTTGTCGCCCCGTTCGAGGAGCAAACAAGAATCGACCAGCGCTATCCTGACTACATGCGTACATGGACCCTTATACCCTGTAAGCTCTAAACCCTCAAACAAATCCTGAAGCAAGGCGGGTCGGAGAGCCGTGGATCTAAGCTTGACTGTGGAAGATGCCCTTTCTAGCATCTCTCACCTCCAGAACTCTTGTCTTAGGAGGAGGGCTGGGGGTGGCAAGAAAAGGTTGAAGAGCGTGTGAAGCTTCAGCTTCATCCCAGTGCTGTATCGTCAGGAAGTTGTCCGAATCATCTCCGCCTATCCATTGAAGACGGCCTGGGTCTCCAACTTGGAGGAACATGGGTAGTTATAAGTGGGGTTATAAGTCCCCTAATATCAGTTATAAGTATAGTTACCCTACTTATAACCCCACTTATAAATTATAACTAGCCATGAACCTCCAAGAAGAGACAGGCTGAGGAACCCGAGTCTGACTTCATGTACGATGCAGGTACTTGACGCAAGTCCCACTCGGGACTCCCGCTTTCAAGCGGACCAGCGTATCCCGGAAAGTCAGCTTCTTACAAAGGACGGAAGCTCCAAGTTTCAATACAGGCATACAGGTTCTGCCTGCAAGGGTTTGTGCAAGTAAAAGGTTCCATAAGGGTTTCAAGAAGTGCTTGTATCAGGTAACACTCTACCCGTCCTATGTGCCTACAAATATAATTACAACATCCGCCGCTCCTGTCAGCACATCTTGAAAATTAGCGAGCCTTGATAGAACTCCTTACGAAGCCTTGCAGAAACCCTTCTTCAAGCCCCTGTAATACCTGCTAAGAGCCGTGACCCTCGCAAGCACCCCAAATCCCAAGTGGAGGCCTGAGATTTCGGGATCACTATCTAGGGTTTGGGGGCAGGCCTGCAGGAAAAATACTATAGGGACTTTGAAAGGGGTTCTATCAAGGTTTGACAGGATGTACTTCACGGTCAGGGGCCCGGTCGTTAGTATATAAGGCAAGTGTGATTACTGATTTCTCGCCCCAACTCAGGTTCTACTGACAACCCTAACCCCGATAAACCCTAACGGGCTTAGGGAACCGGTGGGCTACATGTCTCGTGACCCCTCATGTTAACTCGCTCCTCTCCCACGGCAGCCGCTGAGCAAGTTGGATCCAGGGCCTGCATAATTAGGGGCCTCAGTATATCTAAAAGGATATCTGGTGTATGTTATAACTAGTACTATACCATACTATAACAGTACTGACGTGTGTTGAAATTAATACTATAACAATACTATCTGTTATATTTAAGCCTTCAATTTGGAGGGTCGGCCCAGGGTGTTTGCATTTCGAGACAGCCCCCACGGGCCCAACAAGGATTTTGTGCTGAGGGTTCAGGCTTCTTGGTGGTGGGTATACCTCCCCAAAGAGTCCAAAGTACCGATATAGTAGAATGTAGGGCTTCTGTATTAGGAATTACCACTATGATTTGGGGAAGTATTCCCCATAACAGTACATAGGACCCTTTGGGATAGTTACCTTACTTCTAACTCCACTTATAGCTACCCATGAGCCTCTAAAACCCCTAAACCCCAGCGCATAATCGGGGACTTATACCCCCACTTCTAACTACCCTAAACCCTAAACCCGAACCCATCTTACGGACTTGCAGCGCCACTTCTCCCCATACTACTATACTCATGTAGAACTACCCTATACCCACTTGTAACTACCCTATACCCAGTTGCAACTACCCTATAACCATGTATAACTGTACCCATGAACCTCCAAAAACCCTAAACAAGGACCCATAATCGGGGACTTATAGCCCAACCACCCTATACTTTATACCCATTTAAAACAACCCATGAACCTCCAACAAAAACGGCCTCAAGCGCCGCTCGCTCGGCTTCGAGGCTGGCTACCAGGGCCTGCTGAAGCTGCAGCCTCGTAGCGAGTAGCTCCATCATAATAAGGATAGCCTTTTTCCTACCATGTGGTTTTGATAAGGGATACCAACAACAAAAAGGGCAAAAGGGTACTACTCAGGAGACTAGTAAAGGGTTCAGGATTGTTTAGGGTTTACAGGGTTGAGCGGTCTAGGGTTTAGCTTTTTGTACACGGGTATAGGGTCTAGGGAGTTTAGGGCTTACGGTTTAAGGGCTTGCGGAGCCGCGTGCTCTTGGGGTGGCTTAAGGGTTTAGGGCTTCAGGGTCTCTTGGGGGTGGCGGGCTTGTTGATCTGGTGGGCCTTTATGTAATGCCTGATGGTCTCGGTTTTATACGGTCATGTCTTTGGTAGTTCAGGTTTTAGGGTATGTCTCTAAGCCTGCACCTAACCCCTTACATCGTAAGCCGGGGACTTCAAAAATCCGTCGCGGCGGCAACCCTAAACCCTAAACCCCTAAACCCTAAACCGTAAACCCCTAAACCCCTAAACCCCTAAACCCTAAACCCTAAACCCCTAAACCCCAAACCCCGGTCGAGGGCTAGCCCGAACCTCCCAGGCACTAAAACGCGCTGCTGAAAGGGGTCTTGGGCTTTGGGGTCGTTGGGTTTAGGGTTTAGGGTTTAGGGGTTAGGGGTTTAGGGTTTAGGGTTTAGGGGTTTAGGGTTTAGGGTTTAGGGTTTAGGGTCTCAGGGTATCAGGGTTTGGGGTTGTGGGAGTTTTGGGCTTGGGGATCTTGGTTAAAGGCCCAGGGGACTTAGTAAGTAGGTTATAGGTAGGGTTATAATCGGGGTCTAGCTCCATTTAAGGTACTTATAACATATGTATAACCCTACTTACAAGTCCCGTGGGCCTCCAAGTAGACCTTGAACTGACACCATCTGTCAACCCCTGACCTGAGCCCCCCCCCCCCCCCCGATAACAAGCCTAGAGGCCGACCCCAAAGTCTATCAAACAAGCCTCAAGGCTCCTTTTCTGGGGTAACACACAAGGCATGCTCTACATGGTACACAGGCAATATAGTATGTCCAATATATGCATGTACTGTAAACATGTACATATGTACGAATGTGCGTAAGCATGTATGTATGTATGTATGTGTGTATGTACGTATACAGTATTTACGTGCATGCTTATGTGAGAGAATATGTAGAGGTATATGTACGCATGCATGTCTGTATGTATGTGTGTCGGTGCGCATACCGGTATAGCCATGGACATATACAGATGAATACCTATACACATATTTTTGCATATATGTACATGCGTGTATATAAGTATATATGTGTATGAACTACTATTATTTGTCCTGTTGGTTGTCTTGGCCTTCTCATTTCCCTTGCAGAACCCATAGAACAAGAACACATCTGTGCACGACACATAGCCTGGACTTTGAAGTAACCAGGGAGAAGAAAGTATAGACTCATAATGGTTCTTGTAAGGAACAGGTACGAAAAAAGTATTCAAGTATGGTCTATACTGAACTTAGAACCCTAGCAACACTTATAATCTTAGCTGTTTCTTAGGGATTATGATAACCAAAAAGTAAAAAACTATTCCTAAGTACCCCTACTAGGATACCCAGTAACCTAAGAACAAAAAGGCCTCTCTTTTTGGTATTGGGTAACTTAATAAGGAACCTAGGACTACAAAAAGGGAATAAGGGTACTACTGGGCATCCTAGCCCCAAATTTTCGGAAACCCTAAACCCTTTATAGAATCCTTATAGATCCCTTTACGGAACCCTTATAGATCCCTTTAAGGAACCCTTATATAAAGTACGGCCCCTATCTTTGGTATTCCAAACCCAGGTAGATCCCTGGCTTCGCTCTGCCGGGCACCCGGCTCTTCCTCGGCCATGGCCTAGCAGGGTTAACATAATGGGGGTTCCCTTTAAAGGGATCCCTTAAAGGGATTTAGAGGGATTCTATAAGGGTATAGGGTTTAGGGTTTAGAGTGCTTGGAGGGTCGGGGGACTTAGTAACTGATTACTTTAGGGACTTATAGGTACCAGAACCCTCTGTTTAGGGTACTTATAAGTCTACTTACTACCTACTTACTAAGTCCCCCGGCCCTCCAGGTAGTGAACCCCAAAAAGTTGGAACATAGACTTGGGATGATTTGTGCTGCGATTCCAATTACTTTAGATTAAGGGCATGAGGATAGTATTGTTCCAACTTTCTGGCTTCTGCTGCAAATCCACCCCAGAGAGGCTTGCAGGCTTGCTTCAAAGGGCCAAAAGGACACCATCAAGCAAGGATCAGGGGACTTAGAAAGCAGGTGATTTCTGATCTTCCGGATGGTTAGCTTGGAAGTCAGCCTGCTTGCAAGCTACTTTCTTCGAGCGCTAAACCCTGAAAACCTTGCAAAGAAGACAGAATCGCAAATGGCAAAACTCCAAGACACACCATAACCACCGACGACAGCGCCGGGACAAACCGAAATCCTAAATACGGTGTGATCAAACTGCTTTCAAGCCATATCCCCAAACCCTATTGAAACTTAAGCCCATGTACTAACCCCCGATAATACCCCTTATAGTATCCCTTATAGTACCGACCCATTATAGTAGCACCCATAATACCCTTATCATACCCCTTATAATATCCCTTTAAGTATAGCCCTTAGAATTACCCCTAAAACCCTAAACCCTGAACCCTTAAACCCCCAGACTACAGTACCCCTCACAATATCGCGTCTAGTATTCATTATAGTACCCCCAGAATCCCATTTGTGATACCCTTAAATCCTAAACCTAGGATGCCCAGTAACCTAGGAATAACAAGGGCATTGGGTAACTTAATAAGGAACCTAGGGCTACAAAAAGGGAACAAGGTTACAACTGGGCATCCTAGAAACCCCGATGCTGCCGCTTAAATAGTATCCCTTGGAGGAGCCCCGACCCGAGGAGCTCTCGGCCTGTTCCAAGCGAAGCTCGAAGACTTCGGGGTCTTCCTCGGGCTTTGGTTTAAGGGCTTAGGGTCTAGGGTTTAGGGGTTTAGGGTTTAGGGGTTTAAGGGCTTAAGATTTAGGGTTTAGGGGTTTAGGGTAATAAGGAATATACCATAATCTCCATGGTTCAAGGTCCTTGAGGCAATGCAGGATTTATATCATCAACCCTAAACCCTAAGGATCTCTTAAAGGAACCCCTTAAAGGTACCCTTATAGATCCCTTTAAAGGAGCCCTAGGATTTATATAGAGTATGGTTTACATTACTAGTACCCCCAGAATAGAACCCAATACATACACTCACCAAAATTCAAAAGGAGCCCTATCTACACTCACCAAAATGGTAATATAAACCCTACTTCATATCATCAACCGTATGGATCGGCCCAGGGGTTCGGACACTCGGTCGTGGCAAACAAGCACACGGGGTACATGCTCTGGCTTTCGCTACTTAAAGGATCATGGGACTTAGTAACTAGGGTTATTAAAGGGCTCCTTTAAAGGGATCTATAGGGGTTCTATTATAAGAGTGGTTTTAGGGTCTACTTAAAGGATCATGGGACTTAGTAATTACGGCGGTTATTATCAAGGTAAGTATACTTATAACCCCAATTGAGGTACTTATAACCATACTTACTAAGTCCCATGAGCCTCCAAGTAGTGAGGTTTTGACAAGGCAAAACTACGTCTTAAACTTTATTCCACCCGCAATCTAGCCTCTATCACGACCGATATGCTCACCGTATGTCAACGAAGACTGATTCTCGGGATACCTTGGTAGTCGTGGAGATCGTAACGCTGACCCTCAAATTCGTAACAATACTCGGAACTAAATCCCCCAAACTTTACAGTATTACACTTGGATTTCCTGCACCCCCAAACCTTAAACCTGAAACCCGCCAGGGTCGTGTGGTATAATGCCTACATACCTATAGTCAGATTGGGATTATACAGACCCACTGACACCATCTTAAGCCCTGCGCCTAACAACTCTGCAGGGCCTTCACAGAGCTTCCCAATAAATCCTTAAAGAACCTCTTCAAGGAACCCGGTTTAGGGTTTAGGGTTTAGGGTTTAAGCCACTCCAAGAACCATTTGAAGCGCTGGCTAATATAAGGGTCTGAATATTCCAGGTAAGTTCTGACTTGGCCCACGTGCGGCTGATGTCCGTTGTTATGCAGGGGTCGTAAATCCATAGTAACAGTATTCCCTTGCACTCTCCCTTCATGAATCTGGGCTTGAGGCCATGAAGTACTAGAACTGCATGTACTGCGACTATAAAATGGCCCCAGCCTCCAATTCAAGTAGATGGGCCTCTGGGTCAACAACCCCAAAAATCCTAACACCCTTATAGGAACCCGTAAAGGAGCCCTTGAAGGTATATGGGAGTTTCCGAAAACAGGGGGACCCTAATATAGTACCCTAAATAGTAGGATCCTTATTAAAAGGAACCCAAAGTAAGGTACCACTCATTTTCGGAAACTCCCATATCAGGCCCTGAACCCTAAAACCCAAAACCCTAAACCAAACCTTAAGCCCTAAACCCTAAACCCCTAAACCCTGAACCCTAAAACCCTTCCAAGCCGCCAGCAAAAGCCCTTGTACGACCGAAAGGAACTCTTGGAGGTCCCCTCACAAAACCAGAGGAAAAAGGCTTCAAATAACTTGACCCTGGAAAGGAACCCTAGATGGGGAGCTCTCGAAATTTGAGTCCCTTTTTGGGTCCTTGTTAGAAGGATGCCCTACTATTTTTGGGACCTAACAGGGGTAGTATCTTAAATTACAGAGCTACCCATGCAATTAGACCAAATGTTTTTTCTGGCGAGCTGTGCTAGTTTGGCCGAGACGCCTCGTCAAGGCTCTGAGTCGGCGCTACACTGGCCTCTGGCCAAATCAGACAGATGAGCTAGATAAGTAGAATAGGGTGCCTTATAAGGCAAAGTATTGAGGCCCCAATAGTAAGTTGCTTCCAGCTGCTTATAAGCTTATAAGGTCTGAAAGTGTGATACCGGTCTTCTCATAAGGCTTCATGATGCTGCTAAACGGTGTAATACTAGGTACCCCTTTCGTACTAGGGACATCCGGTCCCCACGAGCCAGTTTTTGATAAGGAAACCCCAAAATCGAAAGACCGGCAGGTAGCACAGGACCACCCGCGACTCTATACAATCCCTCAGGGCGCCTACGACACCAGAGAAAACAGCTGAAATGAAGAGCCTCGGTGAGAATCCTTATAAGCTGAGTAATCTAAGGGATAGGTGTCTGCAGACATTCAAAATTATTTTACGACTATGTAGTGTAGGTTATAAGCTCGAGAGTTCAGGCGTTCGAGCGACGCATTAAGGTTCCTATGGGTTCTGGGTCTGGGCATCTCCCGAGGTGGGACTTGGAGGGATTGATTAGGGTTTAGGGTTACTTGGAAGTTTTAAGTGGAGGTTGCAAGGAGACTGAATTAGACTTGTTTTTATTTCATACCAGAGTTGAAGGAACTGTAACCCCACCGCTGGGTGTGGAGTTCAGGCTTGAGTTTGGGGAGTTGAGCTGCGGCTTAGGCTTCACTATAGTGTTTCCAGTGGCTTTGTTGAAATGGACCCTCAAAGAATCTCCCAGAAAGCCTAAGATAGGGGCCTCAAAAGCTGGAATAAAACTTCGGGGTAGAATGGCCTACTTGTATTGAAGACCTTGGTAGATATTCAGGCTCTCGTACTACATGGATCGTTCTTTCAAGTCTGACAGGCTTCTTATCATGAAACAGAACACGGGAGGGGATGTTGTTTCATTCCAAGCTAAGGAGATATATTCAAAAATAGACAAATCATTTTTGGTCACATGTCTGTCTACATCTTTCTACACCTTCGAAAAGGCTAACACCGGAACAAAGTAGGTACCGGAATGGTGTATCAACTCGGGATATATGCACAAATACATCCATAAATGCACACTCATCTACCAACTAAATTTAAATAACTGTGAATTAATAAGGAGGGGGTCTGGGGTTCTCCCGCTCTCCACCTCTTCGCCGTGGTGGATCTGCGACACGGATGCCGCCAACGCGCGCTGGAGGTCCTCACCGGGCCCAAAACTCCAAATCTTATCGGGGCCTACGTATTGTCTCTTGCAAGGCACACGGACACACCGCGCATTGCTGGCTCTTCCCCGAAGGTCATCGTTAGAAAGATCGGTTGGGTTCTTCCTTTACCGGTCCGGCCAAAAATCAAAGCAGCCATTGTGCACGCAAGCACTTGGACACTGCATTCGCTCAATGCCGGTGATCACCTCCCATCGGAACGAGCTCATCAGGGGCCGGTGGAGGGAAATGTTGGCTCTCCACGCCAGCGGCCAGCCATTGCCTTTGAGAAGGCATACTTCCGCTTCTCGCTGGGCATTGCCGAACGTTGATGATTACTAAGTTTTTCTCTTGGGAAATTGAGCTTACATTGCAGCCGGGGCTTCTGCCCGGCAGCATGATGATGAGCTTGCCTTCGCTCCACAACGCCCTCAACCCTAAGCCGTCCCGGACGAGCTCCAGCCGACTCCGGTTCATCAGTAGGGGCCGCCAATACCAAAACAAAGCTCGTTTGTGTGCCATGATGAGTCTCTTTGCAAAGCTTCGGACGATGACTAGAAGCACCGTGAAACACTTTTTGGCTCTTAGCACCTGAGTTCATACCGTGTTCTGAATACTCGCATTAGCACTGCACGTCTACGCTCTGAGAGAGAGAGCTCGAAGCCCGGTGCCACAAACAAAAACTACCGACTCCCAAATGCCAAAAAAGCCCCCAGTTCACTACAAGCCTCAATCTTGTAAACCACAACTATAGAACCATCATTTTCAAACCCTAGCAGACCCGGAAAACCGTACAATCCAAACAGAAGCGCTGTAAGAGATTACAGGAAGCCTTGTTTTCCGGCCTCCTCTTCGTCCTCCCTTACCATCTCCTCCTGCCGGCGACGCCCTAAAACCCAAAATCTCAACTCCCTTGTTACAAGTTTCAGCGTCCAAGGCCGTTGTAGGGTTGAACAAAAACGAAACCGTAACAGCATTGTGTCAACGGCTTTTAACGACTGGGTGGACCCTAAGTCCTAAAGCCACACAACCTGGAAGTCCCAAGAGCCGCAAGCCCTGAAACTCTAAACTCAACGAAGCGCCGTAGTCCTCCTGCCTTAACGACGTGGCTCTGCACAAAAGTGTTTCAGGGGCTTTTGCTTTATTTCATGGGCTTTTGCTTCGGGGCTTGGGTTGGTTCACGGGCTGGGAGTCTTCGTCAGAGCCCTGAATGAGTTGGAAATGACGCACATGCTGTCTCAGATCTTTCATATTTAGACCCTCCGTCGCAAAACCCATCAGCCCTAGATCTCTGAAACCGAAGTCCAAACCCCGAAAACATCCAGACAACCGCGGACAAACATTCAAGTCCCAGCACCTTCGCTGACTGCGCCGCCGCAGCAGAGGCCCTATGCAGGATTTGATTTCTGAAGGTCTTGAGGTTTCATGGCGGCTTGAGGTCCCTGACAAACTCAGCCCTCAGGTCATGGACCGCAAATTGGGGCGTACGGCAATTGCAAGGTTTTAAGGTAAAAGCCAGAAAGTTGGAATATGATTATCCGAAGCCCTTAAATTATAAGGTATCCTACCCTGAAACCATATTCCAACTTTCTGGAGTTTCCTGTAGATGGTTTACGGCTCGGTGTTGCGGACGTTTCGGGGTAAGCTCCAGGTGGAAGGGCAGAGTCTTGGATTGAACCTCTTCGGTATATAAGGCTGGTTTGTATGCTGGATCAAACAAATGCGGCTTGCAATTTCCTACTTGATTTGGTACTCGCCTCAGTAGACTGAGACAAGATTCGCGTTTTCATATTGTTAACATTTAAATTTGAAAAGGTTGAGGCTGTTTATTTGTCAGAAACAAGGAACATTAAGAAGTATAATAGGAATTGGGGGGGTACTTTTGAACCTTCCCAAGGAATAGCATTACTGCTTGGCTTTGAAGTGTCTATAGAATAGTCCGTTTAAATCCTCAACTTCATAAACCCCCAAAACCATAAATCCTAGACATTATCCTCTCTAAACCCTACAGCGCGAAACCCTTATGAACCCGAAGCCCAGTACACACTGTTAACGCCAAAAGCCCGTGAAATTTCAAGAAGTTCCCGGCTTCGGTGGAGCAAATCCGTCATACTCACGGCTTCACAAGAAAAATCGATGGGTGGGGCTTCAGGGCTTTGGGGCTTGTTTGAGGGTTTCGGGGTTTTGGTTTATAAGGCTTGCGCGATGGAGTTTGGAGTTAGTATCTGGGCCAGTCAGGACACACGGCAAAGTGGGCTGCAGAATACTTGAAGGCTCATGGGACTTAGTAAGTAAGGTTATAAGTAGGTTATAATTAGGATAACCTCACTTAGGGGATTTATAACTCCAATTATAACCTACTTACTAAGTCCCATGATCCTCTCAGTAGGGTTTTGGGGTCATTGACTGAAGCAGCGAAACCCCGAGGCAGGAACCTGAAACCGATCAGGGTGGTTGTCAAAATTAGGGTCCCTTTCCCCCAAAGGGTCCAAAGTACCGATATAGTAGAATGTAGGGTTTCTGTATTAGGAATTACTATTATGATTTGGGGAAGTATTCCCCATAACAGTACATAGGACCCTTTGGGTCCTGAAGGGCCAAATGACCCTTAAAAGTAGGTGCCATATACCCATATACTATGAATCCCTATATATAGTATATGAACACCCTAAACCCTTTGAGGGTTCATTTCGTCCTTAAGGTTTTGGGTACCCTAAGTACTAGGTGCCGTATTATAATTAGTGGGGACCCAAAAAGGGGACCACAATTTTGACAACCACCCATCAGGAGAATGCGATTTAAACCACACTCTATACTTGAAGGCTCATGGGACTTAGTAAGTAAGGTTATAAGTAGGTTATAATTAGGATAACCCCACTTAGGGGACTTATAACTCCAATTATAACCTACTTACTAAGTCCCATGATCCTCTAAGTAGGGGTCCACAACAGGCTCTCAAGCCTCTGCTTCGCCCTTTGCTCGCGCTCCTCACGCTCCTGCTGCTGCCTGCGGATCTATATTTAGGGTTCAGCGCTCCAGGCGACGGATGCTCTTGCAGACATGCAAGCATACACACAGATGAAGAAACCCGATAAAGACACTAACCTGCACATGCAAAACCACAAATTGAACGTACTGAGCAGCCGTGTCGCCCTGACCACGGCAGGAGACAACAACACTAGCCGCCAACAGAAGCGCTAGCAACATAGCAGACGAAAAAGACATTACACCATCAACACCGACACCCACACCGGCGTCCTATACAAAAGCAAAGGCAACTAATTACCGCGAAAACAGCGGCAGAAGCAAGCGTGTAAAGAGCAGACACATAAATATCAACCGCAAATACTTCAATTCGAAACATTAGCAGGGGCAAGGGACAATGCACGCACGCTGGGAAGCCCTACACAAGAAAAGTCAAGAGCCAAGAGACCAAAAAAACGTATCGCAGTCCTTGCCACAGTAATTAGTCATAGCGATGAGCGTCGTGATGGTGACAATATTGAACCGACGTAGCAATGAACGTTAGAAATAGCACGAGGGTGCAAACATGTGCGGCAAACAAAATCGCAACATGCAGCAGCTGTAACAATCACAACGCAAACCTTCATGATAACAGGATCTTGCTCGAGTCCAAAACATATGTGTTGAGCCCTGAGCCTGAACCCAATCCGAACCCTCAACTCCACCCCATGAGCCTTAAGTCAGAAATCCAAAGCCTTGAACCCCAAGAACTGAGACAGATGGAAACCTACATAGCACGTCAATACAGGGGCCTTAATAATTAGAATGGGGTTTTGGGGCCCATAATACCATATTCAAACAAGGAACCCCCGAAACAGTATAGGTAATTATGAAGGCCCCTATAGTACCCCTTGGAGGAAGCGGAACCCTGAGCAGGGCATGGCCTGAACTGCCGGTAGCGCCGCCAATCGTCCATGGTGCCAGCCTTTTTTGCTCGTTTCGGGGTTTATAGGGTTTGCTGATAGGGGTTTAGGGGTTAAGAGTTTAGGGTGTAGGGGTTTAGGCGTTTAGGGTCTAGGGTTTCGGGGTTTACAGGGGTTTAGGGGTTTAGGGGTTTTGGGGGTTTAGGTTTTAGGGGTTTAGGGTTTAGGGTGTTTGGCCCCAGTACGACTTAGCTTTAAGGTTTAAGCCCCAATACTAACAAGGGCGGGGGTTCAGGAGGCCTAGGATTTGAGGCTCAATGTCTATATCCAGAATTCTACTCAAGGTCAGGCTCAATCTATACTCCGGGCTTAGGGCTGATAGGGCTTAACTCAAGTTTGACGCAGGCTTTCGGGTTCGATGGTTTTAACATGCATATGTTAACGGCTGTGCCTTCAAGGTGTGTGGTATAAGGTTCCTGGCTTTGTGGTCTTATTTGTCTGTTTAAGCGGGTCTACAAGGTTCAGGGTATATGCTATGCCTTGCAACTTAACTGGTTTACGTCTTCCTCTGTGTAGGCTGCATTTTCGGTGCTCACCATCAGCCCCGCTGCCGGAAGAAGACTCAGTGCCCCAATTAAGGATGCAGGGAAATACTTGCTTTTGTTCACAGATTCCCGGTTCGTAAGCCGGAGGCCGGACGTCTAAACCGGAAACTGCAACCGTCGAGATCAACTTGGAGGTTTATCAGTCGTTTCAATCAGGGTGATGAGTCCTTCAAACGGGGTTAACAAGTATAATAAAACTCTCGCTATTTGACTAGACGGTCGCGTTTAAGTAAGTCATGTGAGGACCCTTCTTAGTCTTGAAGCCCTCATACAGAGTCTCTGTAAGCTTGAAGGCCATGGGGGTCGCGGGCTGTTGCTACTTGTTACAGACTCCTTTTCCGGGTTCGCTCTTGCTGAGAATGCCTAGAACATTCCAGCAACCTGCACCGGACACCCCCCTCTCCAACAGGGATCATCGCAAGGAGAAAAGGCTCATTAATCAGGGGTCTATACCCAGAGGCCCCAAAGTAGTTCCTTTTTGGGGTTCATATATAGAATTCTATAAGGTAATCCCAAAACGGAACTACTATAGGGCCTCTGGGTAGCAAGCCCAGGCTCAATAATTCTCTCCATGTCGCAGGCCTAAAACGGTCGAGGTCCGTGCATTACGCGCCCGGGCGTCTGCCAGCCGCTTCTCGGCTGCCTGCTACTTAGAGGATCATGGGACTTAGTAAGTAGGTTATAATTGGGTTATAAGTCCCCTAAGTGGGGTTATCCTAATTATAACCTACTTACAACCTTACTTTCTAAGTCCCATGAGCCTTCAAGTAGGGGCTTGGTATATGGCTTGGGAAGGGTTTTGGGATTAGGAGTTGGGGTTAGGGTTTCGGGGAAGGGCTAAGGTAGCGGTTGAGGATTACGATTTTAGCAGTTCAAGGGCCGTGAGCCAATGAAGATGATTTTGGGGGTCCTTTTAGGGGGTCGGTAGTCTTTGTTCAAGGTTTGGGCGTCGGTTTAGCATTCCAAACCTTTGGAACCAAGTACAGTCGTGTAGAAGAGCTGGTCGAATGGCTCAAGATACACAACCAAAGGGTTCAGGGTTTGGGGTTTGTTTGGGATAGAGAGCACTGCCAAACACGAAGCCCTCAACCTTGTAGACCTTGAACTCGAAGCAATTGTCCAATCTGTCCCGAACAACTTACCCCACTTTCAGGATGAGGGGACTTGAAGTAATGTTGCAAGTGTCTGAAGTCAAGCTATCCTGCTGGTACCTCTACGCCCTACTTTACGTCTGTTGACCCTCGAACTTGTACCACCGCTGCCCCGTTTAGCAGATCAAGCTGATTACCTCCAGCGGCTAGCATCCGGGTCCGGAACCCATATCTAGCTTAGGGATCCGGTAGGGTTTCACAGTAACTATACGCTAGTGTACCATACTGCTCTATACTTGTAACTGCATGTCAAGCCGGTGGCCAAAGTCCCTGATCCCTCCAAACCCTAAACTCGACCAAAAACCTGAAACCCAGTAATATAGAAGCCTTCAGCAGCAATACTCATAATGATCATAATCACATTGCCAAAAGCTAACAATGCTGATCCCGCCGGTACCTTAACATAACTGTGTAATCTAATGTAATCTACCGCAACCCCCCACATCTGATTATTCAGGCCTCTAAAATATGCTCCGAACCTTGAACCACCAATTGTAGAAACCTTTGAGACCCCTTCTAGAACCCTGAAAGGAAGCCTGTTCAAACTCCCTACCCCCTTATCAAGCCCTAAAGCCTAAACCCTAAGCCCTGATAAAGCCCTCTAGATCCCTTAGAGCCCTATGGCACCCTCGCAAAGCTCTTTTACCCCTCTTATAAAGCTCATAACATGACACCCTTATAAAGCCCCTATGACAGCCAATCAAGCCCCATAGATCCCTTACGGAACCCTGACCTACTCGGCTCCATTGTGCCTGCAGGCTTGCTTGTCTCTGCTGAAGACTTTGACCTCCCCCCGCTTTGGGTCTGAGGTTCTTTGGGAATGGTAGTCCCTATATAATCCCCAATTATAGTCTCCATAATCCCTTCCCCCACTCCCTACTAAGAACCAGACAGTGATCGTGATCTAGTGTAATCATACGCAAAAATTATAGGGGTCATGGGCTATAGTGGTTTGTGTACAAGCCAATAACTAGGGCACACGGTTTAAAGTCTAGAGTTTTAAGGTTGAGGGTTTAGGATTCTACGGCCTAGGCTTTTAATTTAGGCTGTGGGATTGTGTGTCCGTTGAATATTTCGGGCGATTGTAGTGCCGCGCATCGTGGGTCGCGCAGGATCGACCACAAGTAAATGGACATATACACGAACTATAAGTCTACATACATAAATACATACACACATACGCACATATACACACATGCATACATAGATACATGCATACATACGCACATACATATCACATAGGACCTGACGGCTTGCAGAGACTAACTACGTCCCAAAAAACACTCAACTCCGAATGCAGCCCTCCTCAAAAGAAAATTAACCTTAAACCCACGACTCCACAACAAACACATTACGCCGGTTCTGGGTTTCGTGCTGTAGTGGATGATCATTGAGCCTATACAAGGCTTACTTAAGGGTTGCACGGGAACCCCCAACAAAGGATGGGAAGTTGAAGGTTCAGGGGTTTAGAGTTCGGCTAAGGGTTACCCAGAGAAGCTGCTAGGATTCCCTGTGTTCCATCTTTCCGGCAGTCAGTGAAAAGCAATGAACCCTCAACCAATACCCTGCGAAAGTGTGTACATCCTTAGGGTTTATAGTTGCACTCAACGTCAGTCTACGAACGTAAAGATTTCAACCATTCCTGATGAAAGGATTCTCATACAAGACATGAGACAGCGCGGGCTTGGGCAAGCCGATGTCACATCTGGGGTGAAAGTAACAAGTTGGAAGATCCATTCTCGTGTGTCCTCCCAGCAGAACTTGCAGAAACTTACAGAAATTCGGCACCGTCCTCCATACTCCCTCTTCTAGCTTCTCGATAGCCCACTGCAAGACCGACAGAGCCGGGAAAGAATATGGAGGCTCTGGGACCTAAATCCTACGCCCAACTCAGTATCCGTCTCACACCAAGCCCACTGAGCCTGATCCTTAAACTCTGAAGACCCCGGTAGCTGTTCATGTAATCGGGACCGTGGCTTTAACATTTCAGTACCTGATATGAGGACAAGAAGGGAATGCCATTAGCGAATACTCCGACCCCTTAGCATAAAAGAGCACCTGGCGGCATGGCCCCAATGTTGTTGGGGACCTGGCGTGCGCACATGGGCCCCAAACCCTTAAACCCCTTAGGCGACCCGTGCAAGGGCCTGAATTGGAATTGGTTTTGGGGGAATGTTATACTGGGACTTTGGTGGGACCTATATTGAGATAGCTACATGATTCATGTGGATTTAGCAAAGGTTCCCACCAAAGTCCCAGTATAACACAGCTTCATGATGAAGCTTTAAACCCTCGACACACACACAGACACACGCAGACACCACGAATCACTACCGAAAAGAGAGTCCGGCTCTTTGGCATTCGGAGTTGCGGACACTTGGAACTCACGGATCGGCCTAAGCAGGGCGAGAAGTAAGGCAGGCATGCTGTAGGGGCCTTAATCATCACTTATAGTCTCCACTGTAGTTCCTTTTTTTGGTTACCCAAAAACTCTATTATAGGATCCTAACCATAAGATTGGTTAACCAAAAAAAGGAACTACAGTGGAGACTGTAGGTAGCATAGGTCTCGGGGCGCATCATAACACATTTATTAATACGGAACTCCCAATATGGTCTTGGTAATTTATCAGGCCCCTATACTAACTGCACCGCAAAATGTGACTAAAACCCCGATTCAGCCAGTTATAGCATCTTATAGCCCCACCTTATGACAAATTGACTGCCGGCGAGGCTTCAAGCGGATGGTTCTCTAGACACGGGCCTCCAGACGGTTACCTTAATATTGCACTGCCGCAGTCTCTTCTTGACTTGACAGGGTACAACTTCCCTCGGAGAGCTACCGGAGCTGCTCCCACGAAGCTCGGCGCGTTCTGGGGATGATGCATGGGTTTACTTACTTTTATTAGGGTTTCATAGGGCTTCCAATGTCCAAAATCGTGCCTCGGGCTTGAGACTGTTTGAAGGATCAAAACGGGTCTGCAAGTGTTTTGAACCCACGCCATTGCTGCGGCGGTTGTGACTCTGCCTCGCATTGCCCAAAAACCGTTGAACAAATCTGAATCGCATGCAACCCCCTAAACAGTTCAAAGGAACCAATATCAAGGCCCCATACGAACCTCTCAGGACGGCTACCAAACAAGCTTTGCCACCGTGAGACAGCTACAATGCCGGGATTTAGGGCCAGAGTCTTGGGAGTGGTACTTGCATGGCTAGTTATAAGTGGGGTTATAACTAGGGTAACTATAATAAGTATAACCCATATTAGGGGACTTATAACCCCACTTATAACTACCCATGAACCTCCAAGTACAGACCGTCTCTCAAGTGTGGAAGGTGGAAGAATTGGACACAAGGCCTGAGATTTGACCTCAAACTCAAACCATCTAAATCCAACCGCGCACATAAGAAGAACACCCATCCTCACCCAAGCTTAGACAAGCTGCAGCCCTACACTTCGGAAATTGAATACTAACCTCCTAAACCCCAGACTTTCAGCTCTTGCTTGGAGGTTCATGGGCAATCTTGCATTAATTATCCTACTTGTCGGGTATCATGGGGAACTAAAGGTTAACCTTTTTGGTTACAAAGGGATTATAGAGGGACTATACTACCCAGAAAAGATGAAAGGTTGCGTACTCTACTACTAGGTTATCCTCCCTGAACCCCTGAACCCCTGAACCCTAAACCCCAAAACCCCAAACCCGAAATTCCTAGACCCTAACCCTCTAATCCCCCCGCCCCCACCAGGGTCTAGAGCCTGGATGTTGAAAGTTTCCCCTTGGTAGTCGCTCGGAAGCGACGCCTTCTGTTGGCCAAAGAGGGCCTGGCGACAGAGCAGCTTGAAAAATATGGGAATTTCCGAAAACCAGGCGTACCTTATTTTGGGGTCCTGTAATGAGGATCATACTATTTAGGGTACTATATTAGGGTCCCCTATTTTCGGAAACTCCCATATCAAAACTCATGAGCAAAACGTATCAACAATACAATGCTATTGCCTGAAAGCCCCTATTCTACAAAACACCCGAAGCCCCCTCTGTACGATCCCCTGGCAGTCTCTATGGAGTTCTGGCGTAAGATATCCCGAACCTGCCTGAACTCTACAAACCCACCTGTTCTCGGATGCCTTGTTCAAAGCTCTAAAGCCGTGAGAAAGGTCGGGCTTCAGGTATATGCTACATCCTACTTGGAACGACCACAACCTCCCTAGACTTTATCGGGGCTCTACAAAAAGGCAGGATGCCAATGCATGCTCAAGGACTTGCAAGCAGCACACTACAGCCCGAAGCCCTCAAACCTCATAATAAGTCTGAAACCGCTACCCTAAACCCTCATGGCTCTAAAACCCTGCCCCTATACCCTAAACTCGTATAGATTTCCTTTGGTAACCTTCATAGGAACCCTTATAGACTCTTTTTGGAAGCTCTATAGGGGCCCTGCAAGGAAGCATTCAGTAACCTACATGCTCTAAATCCTAAAACCCAACAATTTTATAAACCCTAAAGCCCTAAACCCCTAAGACCCTAAACCGCTAAGACCCTAAACCCAAAGCCCTATGAGCCCTATAAGCCCTATAGCCCTGGAGCCCTAAAGCCCTGAAGTCCTAACGTCCTAAGCCCCTAAGACCCCGAAGACCCTAAAACCCTAAACTCTAAACCCCAAGCCCCTAAACCCTAAGCCCTCTAAACCCCAATCCCTAAAGCCCCAAAACCCCTATAGAACTCCTATAGGAGCCTTTTTTGGAACTCTTGATGGCCGCATTAGAAGGAACCTTTGTAGGAAGCCTGAGAGGTAGCATTAACAGGTAACCTTAAACCCTAAACCCTAAACCCTAAACCCTAAACCCTAAACCCTATAGGAAGCCTAAAAAGGAGCATCAAACAAAAACCTACAACCTTAAACCCTCAACCCTAAGACCCTAAAGCCCCACAATAGGGGCCTTAATGATGTCAATAGGGTCTGGGGGTAGGTTATACTAAAATGATGATAAGGAACCCCACTACAGAATAGGAACTTATCAAGGCCTCCATACCTAACCTGCCCCCTACCTCACCTTCCCTACCCCACCCCCTGCCGACTCCTGCCCTACCCTGACCCGACCTGACCGCTACCCCTGCCAAGCCCTGCCCCAGGCCTCGGCGTAAAGGTTACCTCCCCTGAACCCTAAACCCTACTCTACTACCAGGTACGAAGGCCTCCATATTACATGCCCCTCGCCTCGGCTCGCTTCTTCACGCTCAAGAGGGAGGCCTTGGCGCTCTGGTAGGATGCCAGAGCCTCCCGAACTCACAGTTTCAGGGTTTAGGGTTTAGGGTTTTTACCGGGACCCCCCTTCCGCAAGGGCCCCTTAATGGAGTCCTTATGGCCCTTAGTTGTGGGTATTTGGGGTATATTAGAAGGTATTTTGGGGGGTCTAGGTATGGTTTAGGAAGGTTTAGGGTTTAGAGCCTCCAGAACGCGTGATACAGGGGCCTTCATAGTGAGAATAGGGTTTTGGGGTCCATTCTACAAGAATTTATAAGAAGGAGCCTCCAGAAAGCCTGGCTGTCGATTTCAGGCTCACAATGACAGGGTTTAGGGTCAAGGATTTAGGGATGCTAGGCTCACAATAACAGGGTTCAGGGTTTAGGGTTTAGTAGGGTTTCAGGCGCAGAATTGGATGGCGAAAGGTAGCTTGGTTGCCATTCCGAAAGCCTTGAACACTCTCTGATCACAGAACCCCGATAGAACCCCTATCAAGCTCCTGAAAGACCTCACAAGATCCCATGCCAACCCCAACAGACCCGTACCACCTCGTCTAAAACCCGATAAACCCCAGAAGCTCCAATATAAAGACCTCAAATAACTAGAACAAGCTTTTTGGCTATATTCTACGATTCATATAATAATAAGGCGCCCCCTCGCACTACCGCTCAAGAAAAAAGCACATATAGTATTGGAAAAAACTTAGGCCTGTAAAATCCCATAGAACCTTTTATAAACCCCATGGGAGTCTCCGGCGCGCCTGGGCCTGTACCGAAGAGGCCGTGGAGGTGGTCGACATCTCGGCAGGGTCAGAAAGGGCACAACATGGCACAACCCCAAACCCCTAACCCCAGAAACAACTGCACAGAAACCGCGGGATGCTAGGTGTTCAATGCGCTTCGGGGGTTTAACCTAATAGGTTTGGTAGGGGTTTCGGGTTTAGGATCTGGGATTTGGGGTTTAGCATTGGGGTGTTGCGGTTGGGGTCGCCGGATGTTTGGGTTTGGGTTTCAGGATTACGGGGCCAGGAAGATACCGTTGGACTCATGATTAGACATTGTGCATGTGGAGGGGGGAGGGGCAGGAGAACCTCAAACCCCGACCTCTAAACCGTGCCAACCACTGGACGGAAGCGTCTCACAGTGAGACGCATAGGCTTCTTGAGGTCGGGGGTGTTGTCAACACATCCGAGTGATGCTGCCCTCCACCTGAGTATATAACCCGCGCACGGCACAGCCATGACTAAGAAAGGTCGCATGAGTCCTTCTCACATGACTGAATGTACCTATGAGAAAAACCACCTCGAAGCACGTAGAACACGCATAAAGCTCAAAGCCTTCCCTTATAGAAAGCCACATATCGAAAAGACAAGTCTTCAAAACATTAGCAGGTAAGATCCTCTTAAGCCCAAAAAGAGCAAATCTCCCAAAGCCCTACCTAGAATCTTTAAAACACACATGGGAGTTTCCCAAAATAGGGAACCCTAATACAAGTACCCTAAACAGTAGGATCCTTATTATAAGGACCCAAAATAAGGTACCCCTAATTTTCGGAAACTCCCAAACCCTAAACCCTTTATAGAACCCTACCCTTATAGATCCCTTTAAGGAACCCTTTCATCCGCGAAAGATGAGAAAAGAAAGCCTAAACCCTAAATCCTATAGAACCCTATAAACCCCTAGAAGCCCTAAAGCCCTAAACCCTTAAAGCCTAAACCCCTAAATCCTAAGCCCCAAACCCTAAACTCAAAACCCTGAAACCCTAAAACCCTAAGCTCTAAACCCTAAACCCGTAAACCCCAAACCCTTTATAGAACCCTACCCTTATAGATCCCTTTAAGGAACCCTTAAAGGATCCCTTTAAAGGTACCCCCTAACCTTCGGAAACTGCCACCGAAACTCTTATAGTAGCCCTTATAGTAACCCTTATAGTAGCCTTATAGATCCCTTTAAGGACCCCTATAGATCCCTTTAAGGACCCCTATAGATCCCTTTAAGGACCCCTATAGATCCCTTTAAGGACCCCTCTAGATCCCTAAAAGGACCCCTATAGATCCCTTAAAGGAGCCCTATAGATCCCTTTAAGGACCCCTATAGATCCCTTTAAGGAGCCCTTTCATCGGCGGAAGATGAGAAAAAACGAAGCAAACTTCAGCGGACGAGGGCTCCACCCGGCGAGGCAATGAGGTTCGCTTCGCCTCGGCCTGGCTTTATTTGGGGTTTAGGGGTTTAGGGTTTAGGGTTTAGGGTTTAGGGTGCCCTTAAAGGGATCTATAAGGGATACTTAAGGGCTCCTTTAAGGGATCTCTAGGGGTTTAGGGGGTTTATAGGGTTTTATGGGGTTCTATAAGGGTTCTATAAGGGTTCCTTTAATGGGATCTATAAGGGGTTCTATTAGGGTTTCAGGGTTTGGGGTTTAGAGTTTAGGCTTTAGGGTTTTAGGGTTTCAGGGCTTCAGAGTTTTAGGGTGTAGGGTCTGGAGTTTAGGGTTTAGGGGTTTGAACCGCGGCGGTCCCAGACAACGCAATAGCCGTTCGACAGGGTATAGATGAATCTTTTTATGCAAAAGTTGGCTTGACAGAGTTACAAGGCGTTTTGTAGGGGTATGTGATAGGGCAGGTTCTATATAAACTATTCTGTAACAAAGGGTTTTCGGTCCCGGGAAAGCACGAAACCCCCGTTCATAAGATGCGCTGTCAACAGGAATCCGCAAATCGACATTTCAGGGAGCACCTCTGCATCCTGTATGATCTATCATTTATCAGCGTTATGTCCTATGAGTATGGAGTCGCAACCTGCTATGTTGTGAGACTACACTGGTACACCCCATTCTGAAGTTGAAACTGAAACAAATCGCGTTGATGGGCCTAGAGCTGAAGTGCTTGGAGAAAGCTACATGGTCTGGATTCAAAAGCTTTGCACCGCAAAAACCAGGGCAAATCATACCTAAATCCAAAGCCCGAAAATGCCCTAATTCTAAACTTCTAAACCACTCAAACCCCGAACCCTTATAAGCACTCTTACTATGTATGAAGCTTTGATCCAATCTGCCTGAGTGGGGGAGTTGCTCAAACCCAAAAGCGGAGCCGGGACTATCCCTGCCTCAAAAATCCCAAAACACGGTGTCGGGCTAAGGGTTTCAATTCTGATGCCAGAACCTTAAGCCTTAATAGCTAAATCCTATACCTCATGAACGCTCTTCGATTCAATTTTTGCAGAGTGCTTATAATAACCTTTAAAGAAAATCCGAAAACCCATTAAAACCTCCCCCATTCTACAACTCGTCTATAACCTCAACACCACCATGCAGATCTTTGCTACAAAGCCCCTTTCGCACCCGCATACCAACTTTACAGCTTGTTACACAACCCGTGTAGAAGCCCCACAGTAACCCGAAAAAAGAAACCTCAAACCCTCATGAACGCCCTCACTACAAATTATCTATGGAGCTTAACTCACAGTGACTCAAGCGAGAGACTTCAAACCCTCCACCAGGGTTTAGGGTTTAGGGTTTTTCAAAATCCTTGCAGAACGAGGGCCCTTATAGTAACCGAAAACGAGACCTGAAACCCTCCATGAAAAAAGCGTGCCTCTTCCGAGGGCCTCACGGAGCTCACATAAAGAGTTCGGCGCGGGGTTCAGGGGTTTTTTAGGGTTCGGGGATTTAGTGTTTAGGGTTTGTATTGTTTCGGATTTTTGGGGTTCGGGGTTTAGGGTTCGGGGATTTAGTTTTTCGGGTTTATATTGCTTCGGATTTTGGGTTTGCACTACATGAGACGCTGGAGTGACAACCCTGTACAGCCCCAGAAGACCGTACAAAATCCCCACACCAAAGCCCTTCAGACCCATTAACACCCTTATATCACGTGAAGCTAAACCATCCTAAACCCTAAATCCTAAATTCTTTTATCACTTGAAGCTAAACAATCCTAAACCCAAAATCCTAATTAAATTCTTATATCACTTTCAGCTAAACCATCCGAAACCCTGAATCCTAAATTCTTATATCACTTGAAGCTAAACAATCCTAAACCCAAAATCCTAATTAAATTCTTATATCACTTTCAGCCAAACCATCCGAAACCCTAAATCCTAAATTCTTATATCACTTGAAGCTAAACAATCCTAAACCCAAAATCCTAATTAAATTCTTATATCACTTTCAGCTAAACCATCCGAAACCCTAAATCCTAAATTCTTATATCATCCCGAAGTCCCTGGACTACCAGATCCCAGGTTAAGAAATTAGAACCTATCGCAGGGTGCGGTTCCTTTACAGTAGAAGCCAGAAAGTTGGAATATGGTTTCATGGTAGGATACCTTATAATTTACCATAAAGGGTTTAGGATAATCATATTCCAACTTTCTGGCTTTTACTTTACTTGGAGGGGCAGGGGACTTAGTAAGTAGGTTATAAGTAGAGTTATAAGTACCCTAAGTGGGGTTATCCTAATTATATCCTAGTTATAACCTTACTTACTAAGTCCCATGAGCCTTAAAGTAAGGATTCCTTAAAGGGTTCCGTTACAGATGCCTTTCAGGGCACCTACGGGCTCCTGTAAGGGTTCCTTTACGGATTGCCTTACAGGGCACAGCGTCTGTATAGGAGTGGTGATCAAGGACAATATGTTGAGGTTGCATTCAGAAAACAAGAGACACTTGATATATAGAGCCTGAATATTAGGATCCTTGTGGCACAGTCCTCCAAGCAAGAGTATTTTCGCGAAAACCATGGTATATAATGATCCCAACAACAGAACCCAAATAAGGGAAAGTTTAAGAATGCCACCGTGGGCTCCTTGTTACGAAGCCCCCGTCTCCCTCCAAAGAAAGCGGCGAACAGTTGGTGCCAGTTGGTTAGGGATGCGCTTAACTGAGGCACTCGCCAACCATCGTTGTAGAGCAATAGTATCCCCTAAACCCTAAACCCTAAACAGTTTAGGGTTTAGGGTTTAGGACTCGCGACACGATGCCCTCCGGTAGGCGCCATCGACGATGTCTTGCGGATAACCAGACCCCAAAAGTCCTAAAACCCCCAATTTCGAACCCAACATCACTATTCAAAACCCTGAGCTAGACTCTGTACTGTAAATGATAATGAGACTCTAAACACATTCCAGGGTAAGATAGGTTGTTGAACAACTTCGAAATGAGTTCATCTTAGTGGAACAGTGTTATATTGATCTCTGTTTCTCAGACTGCTGGGTTAATCCCCTAAACCTCGAAACTCTCTTGACAGGATCCATAGAGAGCCTGCCTTCTAGAACCCTTGGAGGACACTTTACTACAGCCCTCAAAAGGTCCGGGCGGAAGTCTGTAAAACGTTCTATACCCCCCGAAACAACTCTATAAACCCGCTGAAGGAAGCCTTGAACAACTTATAACCTCCATTAGACCCTCAAAATGCCCATTGTTTGGGAGCATATATACCCCTATTCGAGGGCAAAAGGAGGGTCCTGGAAGAGTCGGTTAGGGTTTACCCCAAGGGTCCAAGTACCTAATAATCATATACTCTCCAAAATCCTAACCTACATAACTACTATCCTAAAGCCGAGTACCTAAATATCGGTTCCTTTGGACCCTTGGGGTTTAGGGTTTAGGGGGCCGCGCCTGGGCTGTGCTGAGCCCTCGCCGCAGAGCAGGGCAAGCGCAGCAGGGAGATCGCCGCCGCTCTGCGGGGCTGCTAGGAAAAGAAGAAGGGCTCAGGGCTTCCTGAGGTTGCTTCAAAGGGGTCTATACGGGTTACTACAAGGGGTCTGTAAGGGTACTATATACATAATACCGGGGCCTCAATAATGACCAGTATTATTTTGGGGGTTCCCTAGTGAGTCACAAACCCCTATTCTAGTTATTAAGGCCCTCTATAGTGAAGGTTCTGCATAGAGTGCATGCTAGTCTCGCTAGGTTTAGACGTGGAGCTCAGATTGCACCTATTGATGCGCGGTCCGGGCCCAAAATGTTTCTGGCTGTTTTGCTGATCTTCGGGCTCTGCGGAGATGTGTGGCATTTTCACGCGGGGCGGCTGTGGACGAAGATCACGGCGCATGTCTTGTTTTTTGCGGTTCAGAGCATTGGGCTTACGGGGGAAGATGACGCCCGAGATTTGTGCGTTTCGGCTTGGCTGGTTGCCTGCATCAGCGCGACTTCGGCCAAGTCCGGGGCAAAGCCCATGCTTTGCAGCCTCAGCCAGAGACTGCTATTATGCAAGTTAGAGTTTAGGGTTTTCTTAGTGGCTGAGTTCATACGCCCCCAAAAGTGTACTCTTTCAGTTTAATAGTGGGTAATATTATGCCAAAAAGTGTAAAGTGTATATCCACTCAGCTACTGAGTTTTCACATAAAAGTTGAAGGTTTAGGAGACTGATCCCTTCTGCCACACACTAAGCATCAGGGATTTTGGGTTCGGGGTCGCGAGGGTCGAGGGTGGGGCTATTTTGGGGCCTTGACATTTAGAATATGCCTTTGGGGGCCTATCGTACTATACTTCTAACTTCTAACCGCCAGTGATAATTTTTATGAAGCATGCTTCCGACCCCTATCTGTCTATCTATCTATCTATCTATCTATCTATATATATATATATATATACATACATACATATAAATGTATATATATATATATAGAGCTATCAAGGGAGAGGGCACCGGGAATTCCGTAGCGGGAGAGATGGCGCATCCGGCAACGTAATATGGGGGAGTGAATGATTAGCATAGGGTTCCGAAAATGGCCCCTGAAAGGGTTCTATAAGGGTTTCTTTCGGGTATATAGTACAAGGCTCTTATTTTGGGGGCCCATGATACCATACTTATAATATGGAACCCCCAAAAGAGCATTGGCAATTATTTAAGCCCCTATAGTGACGAACTTACTAGCACAAGCGCTTTGGAGGGACCCACAGTAGCGTGTCGCTTACCGGAACGCTGAACCCCAGCTTATTCTGAGAAGGATCCTCCCAAGTATCCAAAGTCAGGACTATCTGCCTTCTAAACCCTAAACCTTACACTTCAAAGGCCCATTAAACCCCCTAAACCCTAAACCCTGATTACCTGGACCAACCAACTACCCTCTGTTCTACCCAGAATATTAAGGATCATAAGGGCTCATAACAGGGCCCTTGTGGGATCCTGGTAACCCTAAACCCCTGAACCCCAAAGCACTAAACCCTAAACCCCTAAACCCTAAAGCCCTAAACCCCAAAGCACTAAACCCTAAACCCCTGAACCCTAAAGCCCTAAACCCCAAAGCACTAAACCCTAAACCCCTAAACCCTAAAGCCCTAAACCCCAAAGCGCTAAACCTTAACCCCTAAACCCTAAACCCCTAAACCCTGAACCCCAAAAGAGCCCTAAACCCTACTTAGAGGATCATGGGACTTAGTAAGTAGGTTATAATTGGATATATAAGTCCCCTAAGTGGGGTTATCCTAATTATAACCTACTTATAACCTTACTTACTAAGTCCCATGAGCCTTCAAGTATAACCTAACCCCTAAACCCCTAAAACTAAACTGCAAAAGCCCTTATAGACCCTAACAATACCCCGGAGTGCCTCCAAGTTTGAGCCTTCAAGTAAACCAAGTGCAGTTCCTGAGCAGGCTCAGGCCCCCACTGCTCCACCTCGGCAGGGAAGGCACTCGCCTTAGAAGCCGAAGGGTTAAAGGGTTTAGGGGTTCATAGGGCTTACGGTTTAGGGGTTTAGGAGGTTAGGGTTTAGGGGTTAGGGTTTAAGGTTTAGGGTAGTATGGACATGGCATATGCTTATGCTTTTCTCATTTGTGAGAGCCCCGCTCAACTTCAACAGTTGGATTTAGTGTTTGGGGCTACGTTGTTTTATTGTTGTGCGTATGTATGTAAATTTACATATACACATATATATATATATGTACGTATGTATGTATATATATATATATATATAAAGGCCTAAGGTCGAGGCTTCGTAGGGTGCAGTCTGACTCCATGCTCAAGATTTAAGAGGTCCAAAATCAAAACGTTCAACGGGGACTGGGGCTGTGAAGCATATGGGTGGGTGATACTGCTGATGGACAAAATCCCGCATTACCCATTCTAAGGAATATACCATAGTTCCCATAGTTTTTAGAGTCCTTGAAGCATGCAGGATTTTGTTCATCAACAGTAGTGACCCTAAACCCTAAACCCCTAAACCCCCAAACAGGTGCTTAAGAAAAAAACGGACTTCCGGCTCTGCCTCGTTGGGGCCTCTGGGACTCAGCGATTTAAAGCCTCGAGTGTTCGCTTCCGGGTGTGGTCTGAAGCACTAGAGTTCGACGTTTAGGGGTCTAGGGGTTTCGAGTTTGGGGTTTAGGGTTAAGGGTTTAGGGGTTTAGGGGTTTAGGGTTTGGGGGTTTAGGGGTTTCGGGTTTAGGGTTTAGGGTTTAGGGGTTTAGGGGTTTAGGGTTTAGGGTTAAGGGTTTAAGGGTTTAGGGTTAAGGGTTTAGGGGTTTAGGGGTGTAGGGTTTAGTGGTTTAGGGGTTTAGGGTTTAGGGTTAAGGGTTTAGGGGTTTAGGGGTTTAGGGTTTAGGTTTAAGGGTTTAGGGGTTTAGGGTTTGGGGGTTTAGGGGTTTAGGGGTGTAGGGTTTAGGGGTTTAGGGGTTCAGGGTTTCTGCAGCACCCTAAACCAAGGACGCTGGAAGACACCCAACTAACTGATCGAGGTTCGCCGGCAAGGGTGGCTCAAATTTGAAGTAGACCTGTACCCACCAGAAAACAACTCGAAACCCTACATAGCCCTACATATGTGTAGGTGTGGGTGAACGACGTATTTCATGATGTGAACCCGCTTGATAAAGAGGCCAGGCATACTCGTGTTGTTTATGACTACCCCTATAGTAGGATCAACTAGGGCAAGCCGACTGAGGAGCTACAAAGCGAGCTGCATCCCAGTGCGGATGATCACCCTTGAAAACTGCCTCTACATGATCCGAGCCAGGAACACTCTTCCGGCTCGCGGGTATGAACTTCGGGACAGAAGTGTGACAGAAGCCTTCACCGCAAACTTAAAGTTCAAAGCGTTCACAACAAATATACGCACACAAGCACCCCGAAGCACAAACCCTAAGCCCGAAACAGCACTAACCAGAACTGAAATTACGGAACCCCTTCTTTTTGCCGGAGGCTGTGGCAAGTCCGCAGCTGGCTCGTCCTCTCTGACTCTCGTCAGACGTAGCCCGACACCACTACCTGAAGCCCTGAAACCCTAGACCCTAAACCCCAAACCCTGAAACCCTCAAAACCCCTAAGTTCTGGAACCCTAAACCCCTAAACCCTAAAGCGTGGGGCTCAGATCCTGAACAGGCCATCCGGAGAAGCTGAACGTCTTCTCCAAGAATTTCAACCTCGGGCGCTCTACTTCAGAGATACCTGTAGGCCCAGACCCTACCCCTTTTTGGGGGTATCTATTTTTCACCAGATCCTAACCATAAAACTAGGTATCCAAAAAGGGGTAGGGTATGAGCCTCTAGTACGAGGTAAGCTCTAACGGGCTTATATAGGCGAGCTTACGGGTGCCCGGCTCAGGGATGAAGTGCTGCTATGCAGGATTTGGGGGCATTTGATCTCGCGGCTCGCCGGAGTGCAAGGAACGAAAGAAACGGGAGTAGGTCCTTCAAAGCCTCAGAAAGTGAATGCTCGTAAGTAATATCCTGATAAGCCCAATAAAGGCTGATACGAAGCATCCCAAAGGCCTACCTGGGGTGGATACCCGTTTTCTATACCCCCCCTTAGAGCCATAATAAAAACATGACTTTCAAATATTCTCTTGGGTTTATATGAACAAAAACAAAAAATAGTTCCTAAGGCGACTATAGTTTTTGAGACTCGAACATCGAGGCCGATCAGTCCAAAGACTCCAAAACTCCTGATCTAGGGAAACTACCCAGAGGCCCCATAGTAGTTCCTCTTGAGGTTCATGTGGGTGGTTGTCAAAATTATGGTCCCTTTTTGGGTACCCTAAACAATAGGTGCCGTATTATAATAAGGACCCAAAAGGGACCTACAATATTGACAGCCACCCATATGTAGAATCCTATAAGGTATTCCCAAAAGAGGAGCTACTATGGGGCCTGTGGGTAAGCAACACTTGCAGAGGGCTCCTTGCTATGCTGTATAGGCCATGAAGCTGGATTCCTTCATTGAGAAAGTTGTGGAGTCTCTGGGAGGATGGGGATATGGCTTCGTGCGTGCTCTGCTTTTTAGGAATTGCAGGTCAAGGAGTACTTGAAGGCTCATGGGACTTAGTAAGTAAGGTTGTAAGTAGGTTATAATTAGGGTAACCCCACTTAGGGGACTTATAACCTACTTACTAAGTCCCATGATCCTTTAAGTAGAGTCTTTGGCAAGGGGTTTTGCGTTTAGAGACGCAGAGTTCGAGGTGATAGGATCCCAAAGGGTTCCAGGTACTGTTATGGCAGTTTAGGGTTTAGGGGCCTGTTATGGGGGATACTTCCCGAAACCGTAATTCCTAATATAGAAACCCTACATTCTACTATATGGGTACTTCTGTTGATGATACAAATCCTGCATTGCCTTAAGGACCCTAAACCATGGGGATTATGGTATAGTCCTTATTATGGGTCATGCAGAATTTTTATCATCAACCGTTTGGACCCTTTGGGGATCTAGGATACCCAGTAACCTGAGAATAAAAAAGCCTCTCTTTTTGGTATTGGGTAACTTTATAAGGAACCTAGGACTACAAAAAGGGAATAAGGGTACTACTAGGCCTCCTAGCCCCAAATTTTCGGAAACCCTAAACCCTTTATAGAATCCTTATAGATCCCTTTAAGGAACCCTTATAGATCCCTTTTTCCTAGGGATTGAAATGGGGATGTAGAGCTCGAGGGTTCCAGATCTTGGGTCGAGGGATGCAGGGCTCGAGGCCTGATGCCGCAGCACATGGGAGTTTCCGAACATAGGGGGGGTACCATAAAGGGTTTAGGGTTTAGGGAGTTCCCTGATATAGTACCCTACATAGTAGGATCCTTATTAGAAGGACCCCCAAGTAAGGTACCCCTAATTTTCGGAAACTCCCACATCCGATGGCAGAAAAATTGCAAAGGCCCGGGCCGGGCAGACCCTGCACGATATCTCTATAGGGCCCTCGAAGAATTAGTACGATCGCTTCTTTGCTAACCCCGGGTGATTACAATAATAGAAGGTGTGACTGAAAAAATGCTCTAGTCGTTTTCGTCAGGATCAACCTTACATCCCAAATCCGAAAATCACTCCCGAACCCCCAATCCTATGACCCTGTAGCCCCGACCCTAAACTAAACCCTAAACCAGCCGCAACCCTAACCCCGACCCTCCAAGCAATTAAGGGCCTAAACCCCGAGCTGGGGGCCCAAAGGCCTGCACCACGGGCATCCGAGCAGCACCTCCCCTTCATCCGGAAGAGCTCCCCCGGCATCCAATTCTGCAGCGGGTGGGTTGGGGTGTCGGGTTCAGGAGGTGAAGGGGTTAAACTTCGGGAAGTAATGAGGTCGTGGCCCCTCGAATTATATTATCCTAAACCCTAAACCCTAAATCCTAAACCCTGATGAAAGCTTCAATTGAAACACGCCTTAAGAGTTTCAGGCGAGACAAGGGGAGTTGGGGGCCAGATCGTCAAGCCCAGCGACTAAACACAACGGAAAGACCTTCGGTACGTACCGTCATGTGTGCCGCAGGATTGAGCAGTGCCAGTATTTATGTGTGCTGATGTTGCAGGGTCTGCGGGACCAGCGTACACATGCTAATTTTGAACTTCAAAGGGATCAAAGTTTGCGCAGGTTTACCCAGATCCCCCAACTATCCGTGGCCATCTATTATGCCCAAAGACCTACCAGAGGCTTCTGGGAAAGTCCTTGCAATCAAAGAGTTACGCCCCAGCATGTCCCATGCAACAAACAAACTGGGGAGGCACGTGCTTGGAAATTAATAGGTAGATCTATGATATCGGTAGAAAGTTGGATAACTATACCTGTGACCCGTAATGGGAGGCTTACAACCCACACAGAACTACCCATGAACATCCAAAGCGTTGTCTGTTCGCCAGTACGGCACACTCCCCAATTCCGGTAGCATTCTTGCCAAAGTCCCACCGTCAAACCCTGGATTTGCGAAGCTACTTCCCCCAAACAAACCATTAAATTGAATCCAAGCAAGTAAAAGCCTGAATGCAGAGCTTGTGGAACTCCCATGGCACCCGTAGCTGAGTTCCAAAGTGTAAGTCTGTGCCACCGTCAATGACCGTCTACCCAACATCTCAGACCACCACGTACACCGCTCAATGTCAACCCCAGTAATGTAGAAATGTAGTGGCCTTACTAAGAGTAGGGGTTTTGGGGTTCATAAAACTAAACTAAAGTCATGGTAAGGAACCACCATGAACCACCAAGATAGTGTTGGTAATTTTCAGCTTCCATAGTAAAGTGCCTCCTCCACGTCGCTCTGAGAAGATCTGCTTGGCTTCGTAGAGGACGTCCCACTCCTGACGCATCACCCCAAACCACTAAACCTTCAACCCTGAACCTTGAATCCTAAACCCTAAACGCAGCGCAAGGGCGATCTTAGTGATAGGGCCTTCCTGAGTATCCAAGAGCCTACTGCTTTAGGGGCTATATACTCATACCGGAAAATATT